CTTCTTGCTTGTCTTTCACAAGCTCCCACCATGGCTGTTTATAACCGAAGGAGACCTTCAATTCTCACCGTCCGATCGTTCCTCAACTTCTCACCGTTGATCGATAACGGCATTCTCCGAGAACCATCGTCCTTGCTCGGTGCTGGACCAACGGGGCAGAGGATGGAGCTTCCCTTGATTAATTGAAGGGTTTGAAGAGAATCCACTCTGCGATCGAGAGTTCAGTGATGAACTTGGCCGTAATCGGGCTTAAAGGAGGAAGACGGACAAAACGCATGACATGTGCGCGTTTTGTTCATTTTAATTTAACAAACTTTGTTTCTTATCCTTTCTCTTTTGGGGAGTCTGAAAACTTTACCCCATATCTTTTCTCTGATTTCATTTTAGTCCCTGAAAAATACAAATAAAGTTTTATGAGTTTTCATACGAGTCCAAAATAATAAAATCTTGAATTAATCCATTTTTAAACATATTCTATAAAATTTTGAAATCTTCTGAATATATTACAAATTAACAAAGTTTGATTTAAATTTTAAATTTTATAATTTCAACTTTCAAAAATAATTAATTTTGTGAAGATAAAGAATAAGGGTCATTAGAAAAACGCATTAACGACAAATTTATAATTTTATTTTTTTTCATTTTACAAGGTGCTCTAATTTCTTTTGTTTTTCTTCTTTTTGTAAAAAAGATGATAGCTTTATGTATGAAATGTCTAGCTATTGGTGTTGTTTCTAACTCTTGAGTAGCTATTTAGAAGCAAAAAAGTGGGTTTAGAAAGAAAACATGGAGTTCTAAATCTTATGGTGTCATATAATTTAACATGATACCCTTGAACTTTTTGAACTTTCTTTTTTTTTTTTTATAATCTTTTTATGCTTTTAAAATGTTTTAATGGGTTTAGAAAGAAAAAATGAGGTTCTAAATCTTATGATCAGTATATAGCGATCACCGATCCAAAACTCCTACACAACGCTCAAACAACGCAGTCAAATTTGGGTTTGGGCACGGTATTGTAGCCTAATGGATTTTCCGATCTCTATGATTAGAATTGGCATGGCATCTTCTGTGGAGTCACCTCAAGACCTGATGAGCACAAGTGCTGTTCTTATTGAGCTGCATCTTATATGAAACGGTCTTCTACGAAACTAAGCAAACTACTAGCATATCCTAGCCTCCGGGTCCGGAAGTTCTTAAATAT